TTTTATACAACTCCTTTTAATTCCTTTTATCTAAGTTTTTAATTATGCGGTGGAGTAATAAGTACTTATTCATATTTAGTTAGAGGTTTCGGATTTGAGTCTTTTTGGCTATAAAAGGATCTTTGTTAGGGAGTGCTTTACCCATAATTTGAGATTTTTTGGCACAAATTCAAATTTAGTGAGGCTCTAATTTGGATATCGAACACTGAGTGGAAAACCAAAAAAAGAAAAATTACCATAGGGCTCATTTGGTAGGTGGATAAAGCTACATCTACATGGTTTTTCATGTATTTAATTTATATAATGTTTTGTTGGTAGAATGTTGTATAAAAGTTATTCATGTATTAACAAAGATGTTTCTCTCTACGATATGTTCCCGCAAGAGAAAGAGTTTGTTATTTGAGGGGGGGGGGTTATTTGGAGTCTTTTAACCACAATTTGAAGCCTCGACATATCTCTTTTATCCATGGTTCAAGGCCCCGACGTATTTTTTTTGCCACGGTTCGAGGCCCCAACATATCTCTATTCGCCTTGGTTCAAATCCTAACATGTGGTTCATTTGGGTTCTTCGGGGTGCCTTCACCAAAGTTCAAGTCTGGAATCAGCCATTGCAGTTCTTGAAAGCTTTTAATGTAGCTAGTGTTATTCATAGTACTTCTGTGTACTTATCAGACCTAAGTGAATCCAAACTCGTTTGAGTTATTTACTTTCCAATTGCGCACGAATATACGTACTTGCTGGGCTTATAGGGTCCAGTTAGGTTATAGATAATTGTTTTACTTTACTACTTCGTTCTATCCACACTTGTGAGCTATATAGTTAGATTTTCTGTTATTGCTTTGTTCATTTTACCTCTAATTACCGTTACTTTCATATTGTTTTTACTTTCCAAGTTTAGTCAAACTATGATGCCTACTCGACACATGTTGTTTTGATATTCATGCTACACTCCACATCTGTTTTCTTGATGTAGATTTGAGCACCTGCTGATAACGGTGATTCGAGCCTAAGTAATGCGAAGATCTTCTGAGATGAAGGGTGAGTTGTTGGCTTCCTAGTTCGACTTATCTCCATATGTATATAGTTTTTTACCTGTCTTTTGTATTCGAGACAAGTATATTAATTAGTAAGTCAATAGCATAGGCTCTAAACTATGACTAAAACATTGAGTGCATGACATGCACATCTTACTCCTTATTTTCCTTATTCAGGGCCGTCTTAACCTCTAGGCCACTAAAGCCATCGCTTGGGGTCCCATATATTTTGGGTCCCCCATTTTAAAAAAACAATTACTTATATATGTTATTTTTTTAAAAATAAATTATATGTACTATTAGCGTTATGATTTATGCTAAAGAAATTGCATATGAGATGAAAATATACCTTAATTTCGTAAGAAACGGTTTGATGAAAATATGGATAGAGAAATCACAAAGTCCCTTGAATAATCTTTTAGTGTTTATTGATTTATATATGTAGGGTAGATCAAACTATTTTTTCATTTCAAAATAGATTCGAACCAATTGAAGCATATATATGGAAATATTTTTGATTTCTTATTTAGTAGTAAAATGTTGAGATCACTAGATGATGAATTTAAAAAATATTGTCTTAACCTTGAACTTTCTTTAACATGTAATAGTTATTCTGATATTGATGGTTTAAATTTATTTTTTGAATTAAAAGTGTTAAGGGAAATAATACAAATAGAAGATAATGATCTAACAAAAATACTCAATCAAATAAAAAGACTTGATTCTTTTTCAAATACACATATTGCTTATAGAATAATGTTAACAGTTCATGTAACCGTTACCTCAGCCGAAAGAAGTTTTTTCGAAATTAAAATTGATTAAATCTTCTTTAAGATGAACAATGTCTCAAGAGAGATTGAATGAATTAGCTATATTACCATTTGAAAAATAATTATTAAAACAAATTGATTATGAAACAGTACCTATTGACTTCGCATCTAAAGTAGCTAGAAAAGAAGATTTTAAATAAAAGTATATAGGATGAAAAAAATAAAATATTAGGGCCCCTCTATTCAGTTTTCCTTTAGGCCCCTAATGTTGTTGAGTCGGCCTGGTTATTCGTACCTATTTTTTTCATACTTTCTAACTTCACTAGTACATTATCATTTGTTAAGGAAAATTATGTAAACTGAATAGTAGATGGCCTGATCCACTTATGAGTGAGTGCTAGTTCATTGATTGATACAACTAATTCACATTAAATAATATATATTACATTTTTGAACTGTTAAACTAGAAATAAGATTAAGGATAAGGGAACTCTGTATTAACTTCACTTTTCCTTATTAGTATCAAAAGTTTCTCGTTTAGGAAATAGGAAGTTTTGAAGGACTAATATTATCCTTTCTTTTAAATTGAACTCTATCTAATGGCTGATTCTATTTATGAATCAATCCCTTAGGTGCATTATTTCCATAGGTTCCAACATTGGTAACAAAATCTAGCTTTCTCGCTTGAATTGGCATAATTCTATACTTCCCTCATCTTATCTATCACGGAGGCCGCTCCCACCTTATCCCTTATATCCTCATTCTAATCTTTATCACTCCGAGTATGAACACGCATCCACCTCAATATCCATATCTCTGCAACATGCATCTTCTAGACATGAGAGTTCTTGACTGGCCAACTCTCATTTCCATACAACAATTTACATACACACTCTATATAAATACACACATACATATATTGGTGGAAAAATCATCAATAGATGAAACTTAAACAATACTCTCTCTATCTCAATTAATGTGACAATTGGATTTTATCTTTTAAATTGTTAATTATTGTGATTTACCTTTTCACATAATTTTCAAATATATAAATTTTATATAAAAAAATTTAAAGCTTCTGTATCCGAATTTACTGTCAAATTATAGAAGTTTGAATCTCAAAATTTCAACTAATGCCACGTAAATTAAATCAACCCTAACACTCAAAAAAGCTACAAATAATTCAAACATAGAAAGTAAAAAAGAAGTAGAAAAAACCTTGATATATATATATATATAAATAAATTATATATTGATTTGTAATTGGTTGCTGTCACTTCTGAGCAAAATCGTGCACACTCAATGGATGCTGTTACAAGTAATATTGGTGTACAAATAACTACCAAAAACAAAGGGAAAATGCCAAGAGTTGGGGTTGATGCATCGCGAGTTGGTTCAGGCCAAAAAATAATGGATTCAGGACACAAACTAATGGATACATCTGATGTTGAAGATGCTGAAGATTCTGGACAGCATGTTTTGCAAGTTGAAACCAAGAATGCAACTAAAAATTGGACACTAGTTGCACACAAAAATTCAACTAGTAATCGGAGCCTTTCCCGACTAATCAAAATAATTCTCCATGTAGTGAAAAGGGTGCGACTGAAAATTTTCATGACAGTGAGAAGAGGCAAGATATTAGTAATGCCTCAAGATACCTATTTTGTTCGAATAGCTTTGATGCTTTATCAAAGACTACTGGAAAGAAAGTAAAGTTAACAGAGAATGACAACGATTTGATCTAAGAAAAGCAAGTCTCACCACCTACTTTGAATAGCAAATTAAGTCCAAAAGCTCCCATATTTGTGCCTAAATGCGTGATTGTAAAGAAGAATGAGACAAGGGCCTTAGTGTCAGATACAATTGATTTGAGCGAGGATTCTCTTGATGAAGATGAGGAAGACAATATGCTTGATTTGGGCGAGGATTCTCTTGATGAAGATGAGGAAGATATGCTGGACATATGCTTTGACAGAGTGGCTAGGGAAGGAGATATATCACCTCGGCAACAAATAAGTAGAAGCAACAAAAGCAAAAAGAAGACACATGGAAGGCAACATAGTTGAGACGGTAAAATGACTGAGGAGTTTGTTCCAAGGCACCTACCAATGCGACAAGCAAAGCAGAACCATTTGACAGTATCAATTGGTTCAACAAGATCCAATAAATCCATAAAGAAAGTATGAATTATCAAGTGTTGTTGGATAAGTTTGAAGAAGAAGACAACAGAAAAATACTTTAAGTTACTTTTGATGGGCAATCAATCTTTTTTAATTCATGCGTTTGTAATTGAAAGTTTGAGGTTGATAACTCAACTTTCTTCTTGATTGACATATTTTTACATTATTTAAGCATCCTAGTTTGTAATATCATCATGGAGTGTATTACAAACTTTGTGGTGATCAGAAAATACTTAGTTCTCTCTAGCTCTTATTTTCTTCATGCTTGTTAGGTAGTAGACGTTAGGTACTTCATTAGGATTAGTACGGTAAGGCCTACCCCCTTGCTTGCACTTATCCCTATTGATTTTTTTTATGTTTAATAAAAGGCCACTAGACACTGTCTAGTGGTAAATTTGCGGGAAAAAAAAACCTTGAGATAATATGCCTTGCGAATTTCCTCTTGAGATGCTAAAAGACTTACATCAAGAACATCATAATACTCTGTCTCTTTAACCATTTTCTTTTCTTTTTCCAAAATCCCAATTAACAAAAAACTACTCTTTTACCTCTTCCAATACTCTGATTACCTTTTTTTGCGCTTGTAAAATTTTAAAGTAGGAGCGGAAAACCATTTGACTGTAAGGAAAAGAAACAAGCCGTGTTGAGAATTGATTTAAAATCTTTTGTTTAAGTTTACTGCTTAGGATAAGTTTTACAGTAGGTTGAATAAGTCTTTTACTAGAATTGAAATAGTCTTTATTAGTTACTACTTTTCTGGTAGTATTTAGTCAAGTGGCGTCTATTATCTTTCTGAGTTTGTTAGCCTATAAAAGGCGTAGAGACTTCTAGTTAATAATCTCTCTTCTTCCTACAAGCCAAACAAAAAAAATGATGAGTGATCCAAACAATTTTAAGCTCAAACACAATGTTATAAGAAGGTAAGATAAGAAATAATGTCACAATATTACAGGTAAATCGTTTTCTTTTTCCTGTTTTTCAATTTTTATCACTATAATATTATGTATGCCAAATCTCTAAGATGAGGCCTCATCCATTGGTATGGTATAGAAGTAGCGTTCAATTTGCTCGACTGCATTATCCTCGCCCTGAGTCTCGTTTCCTCTCTTTATTGGAACTAGGCTCTCCTTGTAATTGAAAACCCAACAGCCAGCAATGAAAAGGTCCAGCTGAAATCCAAGATCTGTAACTTGCCTTGTTTTAGGGTCATATAGCACCAGCTGTGAAGTTTCTGTGATCTCGAAAACCATCTTATCGTTATCCCAGATGTTGAGAGGCCAATGAGCATCTATATGAGGTTGAATAGTAAGAACTTTGGACCAATTTCCCTCTTGTTTCATTACCCACACATTGTATATGGATGTCATTGGTTTGCCAGGGTCACCGGTTAACATAGCAAGTAAGCCGCCATGCAATGTAAGTGTCCCCCAATGTTCACTTGGAATATGTGGGACTTGTATCTCCCCAAACTGTTCGCTGTCCATGTCAAAAGAGCGAATCGTGTAGATATCATCAAGGCCCCTACAAAGCCAATAATAAACCCTGTTGAGATAAGTGGCATCAAGGGGTGCAGACAAGGTAGAACTGGGAGGGAATTCAGGAGTAAGGTGTTTCCATGAATTGTTGCATGAGGAATAGACACAGGCATAGACACGATTATTAGCACCTTGTCCCGGCATATCCCAGAATACTCGAATCCATACAACCTTATAATCTAGAGTCAACAGGTCAAATCCCAATCCAAACTGTTGATCATGGTTTGTGAAAAAGCCCTTAATCTCAAAAGGCGCAGGAGGCAGAGTCCTGAACTCTTTGGTGGCAGGATTCCACAAACCCAAGCAGACATCGTCGCCATAAAACTTCTTCTGCACTAAGAATAAGCCATCAACTGGACCAGCAACACACGTGAAATGAGTGATCCTCGGAAGCTGAAGGAGAATTTTTTGTCAGGGGTCACACCTGGAACAATTTCTTTAGGGAGCAAGGAGAATGCAACAGACTTTACGATGGGGTGTACTTCACGTGCTACTTTCAAGTTGCAAACAAGGAGACGGGCACAATTGTTCTTGTGATGAAAATGTTTTCATGAAACTCGGACTTTTGATGAGAGCACACCAGTGCTTGCGCACACATTGAAACGCAAGAGTGATTCCACGGGCAATCTCAATAGAATTTCAATTACTACATCTTCTGCGAAAGGGCGGTGACCATCCATACTGGTGGAAATATAAGTAAAATGAGACAACTTACAAACATATTGAAAGAGAACAGATCTGGAAACATGCATTAATAGAACACATAGTGCAATGAAAAAGATCAAGCAGCAGCATTACCATGTGAAATAGTAAATTGGACTGATCAATAATCAGGGCGAAATTAGGAGGAGACAAGTAAAGAAGTGGTGATATGGTTTTCTAGAGCAATTTTGCATGTAATTTAAATACCATTTTTCAACTATAATATTAATCGACAAACCCTTGGAAATGGAACAATTTTTAAATGCAAAAGATGGAAAGAATTAAAAAGAATTAGCATAAACAAAAACAATGGCAGCAAAACCCTATATCCCCAAATAGGACAAATTTAGATTCAAATTCAAAATAAATAATCTAACCTTATAAGCTGATGAAGAAGAAGTGTCAAAAATTGATGGAGTGGTGTTGTAGAAATAACTCAACAGTTGACTACTTCCTCACACTTCTTTTGTCATTTTATTTTATACAACTCCTCCTAATTCCTTTTATCTAGGGTTTTAATTACCTTTGGGCTCACCAAGGCCCTCTTAAGAGGTTTTGGGCTCGAGTCTTCTTAGCTATTAAATCATCTCTGTTAGAGAGTGCCTTAATCATAATGTGAAATTTTTCGGCGTGAATTCTAATTTAGTATTAATTTTTTTATAATAATTTGTTGGTAAAATATTATATTATTAACAAATATGGTTTTTCTCTACATTATGTTCCCGCATGAGAAAGAGTGTGATATATATATATATATATCTTGGGTAAAAGGAGTCCTTCCTTCCATATAGTCATTAAACTATATATAAATCTATTTGTATTTCGATTCGAATTTATTCCTTGAATTCGGATGTTAACAAGCTAGAATGAAGATGACCGCGCGGACTACCGCCCGTCTTCTGAGATCCTGTTTCGTTGGTATCAGAGTCTAGGAACTTTCATGGTATATATATAATTGATGTGAAGAATTTCGGCATAGATATATTCTCTCTTTTATGGAACAAGGAGATGTTAAAAGTTCTCGTTTAGAAGAGGTAGATATACATCAAAACCTTGATTTGTTAAACAAATGGACTATTCCGAAAGTTAATATAAAAACTATTTATGATTATGGTTGGTTTGATAAAATCTCTAATAAACAGTTGATAAAAATAACTGAACAATCCTTGGAGTTAAAACTCGTCGGAACAAACTGGCATGGTTCAAATTGCTTTCAAGCCTTTGACTCTTAAAAGGGTTACCATAGACTTTCTTAGCTGCTCTTCGTGATGCGAGAAATCTAAATTTTTGACAGTCTTTGATGGGTTCGATAGAATCTACAGTGGCCTATGGCCTAGTTTATTTTAATGCTCAGCCAAATTTGCAGTTATCTTTGACTGATTCTAATATCCTAGATGCTTTAACTCTGAATGTTAAAATGCATGGTTATAACTATGCACCTGGATCTGAATTAATCTGCTTGTCTTATAGAATTTATTTTAAATTACTTGCTACTTTGAATCCTAGATGTAAATTATATGATACATCTAATCAAACTATTTTGGTAGAAACTAATTTCGCCAGATCTAAGGTCACTACTAGAAGATCAATAAAATGGGAAGACATTAATTTTCCTACTACTTGAATTTTAGATTCTGTTATACCCCCTGAGCAAATGACCGATGCTGTCACTAATTCTGAATA